TGCCATGGTGGTCCTTTGGTCGTAACTTGCGCTCAGGGCTCACAACACTCCAGTTTTGTGGCACTGCGAAATGCATTTCATACGCAATAAAAATACACTTGCCGAGTGGTTTTACAGCTCGAGCGTTTCTTTTTGGCTGTCGCTTCTCTTAGCGCCGTTTTGCTATAATATTTCCTACTTATACAATAAAAAACCCAAAAGTCACTCGCTCTGCTCTGCGCAGATTCTTATGAGTGTGTGTGTTGTCGTTTGTTTTTTTGTTTAAGGAAATTTAATGAGCTACTTAATGTTGTTGTTCAAGCTCCGCTGTTGCAGTTCATTTTTTCAGTTTTTACGATTTTAACAAGTTGGTTGTTAAATAAATTTAAATTACGGTGTCCCAGGCGCCCTTAGCACTGCTCCGCCCAGTTCATTATGATGCTGCACTAAATATATAAAAAACAGCAGAGGGGAATGAGAGTAAATAAGTTCAATTCATGGAGTGCGCGGCCAATTTATTAACCTGGCCAACAAATACTTCATCATTTCAACAGCTCACGTTTATATTTATTCGCTGAGTGCAAAATATTAATATTTAATATAATTTCCATTTTTTTTCTTAATGCAAAATATATGGGCATGATATGAAAAGCTGCAACATCACGTTGTATGAATATTTACGTTGGACTTTTGTTGTGCGTCGATGACTGACATTTTTTGTTTGATTTTCGAGGGTTTTGGTAATTGATGGCACTTAGGTCAGCTTTTGAAAAATTGAGAAGGAAAAGTAGAGAGATTTGCCACTTCGAATGCTGACGCAAAGAGTGTTTCGAGTACAATCTTTTAAATTCTGGATGCGTCAGGGTTTTCTCTTAAGGAAGAGTAATTTTCAATGCCATATAGAGGTAAGGATGTTTTTTAAAGTATTTCAACCTATTTATTTCTTCCTTAGTTGTGCTTTGCTTACTTTAGAGAGTGCGTTGCTTCATAATTATTTATCACACAATGCTTTTCTTGATTTCAAAAGTGTTTGTATCTTAAAGATCAACTCAATAAAAAGTTTGCTTTGGCCGCAATTGAGAGTCTCGGGTAGAAAACTTCATTTTGCTGCATGGCAAATCAGGACACAAAAAGCAAATAAAACTAAACAGAGCGGAACATTTTGAATGCCCTATGGCATTTTCTCTTGGGTTGTTTTTAGGAGCCCTTTGCTTTTTACTGGGGATCCATGACAATTCAGTTGCTCACGAATTCGTGATGCTCAATTTGGCAATAATTTATGTCGACTTTGACTAGACTTGGGTCTTGCAAGCTTAAAGTTTTAGTTGGTGCACAATTATTTGATGAAATGACAGCTGAATCTAGCGTAGTCAGAGCTTGCTGTTTTTAATTATGTTGGTCTAATTTGAGGGCGTCGTGCATTTAATTAAATTATTTCCAAAAATATTCATGCAGCAGAAATACAAATAAAACGCATAATCAGCAACTCACATTTCGATTGGGGCACAGGCAATCGCCGAATACAAATGAAAAGTAAATAATCATGAAATTGCATTGCTCTGCGAAATGAGCATCGGCAAATGATGTGGCCGGCCACGGTTGGAGTCGTTGCATGTTGCATGTTGCGTGTTTCAATGACAACAATCAGCAAATTCCATTGACAAACGAGGTCGGGCCCAAATCGCATTAAAGGCCAGCCAAGTGCCCAGAAGCGGTAATCAAATGTGCAGCATGTTCCTATACAGACACATACACACACACTCCCACCTACACAATAAATGTGCTCTCAGGATAGGAATCGCAGGCAAAGGTGTGGAAAGAAGAACAGAAACCAAACCCCTGAAGCGAAAATGTTTTTTCTTTAACTTTGGAATAATATATAAAAGCCATGCATTTTATATGAAGAAAACAGGAAACAGCTTTGACTATCAATAAAAAATACAATTTAAATATATTATCAATGGAAATATAAGAAGCTGAATATTCTATATATATCACAATATTTATTTAGTTAACAACATTTTATATCAATTGAATCGAAGACTTTGTTTGCTCAACTAAAATAAGTTAAAATTTTGGAAAGTTTCTATTACGTTACTAATACTTAACACATATGTCAATTCATAAATTTCTTTTTTTTTTCTTGGCTTAAAATATTTGAAAAACATGCATTAATATGAAATATGGCCATACTATAATATTAAGTATTAAATTATTCATTATATATTTTATCGATATTTCATTACTAGAATATTTTTAGAGCTCAAATTTTTCAATATTTATTTTAATGCAATTTTTCTAAAATTTCATTATACTCCAACTGATATTTTTCTATATATTTTATATCATATATATAATTAATATATTTTTTCCCGTTAGCAATATATGATATAAATTGCATTTTTCATATATCTGGCCAATTCGCAATTTGCTGCAATCGAAATCGATTAGAAAAACTAAAAATTCAAAACATGTCTTTTTGTTTTTGATATTTTTAGTGGCGTAAAAACGAAAATTGTTGCCAAAATCCACTTTGGCATTTTGACGGGCGTTTGAATCCGAAAATCGGGCCAAGCGACGAGTTTATTCAGGCCAAAGTCATAAATTGTAGCGAAATCGGGATTCGTTCGGGCGTTAGGCTGCGCTGCGCCAATGCTACAGTTCGGCTATGCATGTTAAATGAAATTATTGCAGCTTGTTTTCTTTCTCTTTTTTTTTCTTTTTTTGTTGTCTTCCAACTGTCGCACATGGCGTATGCGTAACGTTCGCTCAATCCATCAATCAGCGCGGCATACTGCCCGAGGCTCATTTTATGTTGTGATATATTCTTTTTCTGGACAGCGCAACAAACAAATTGACTTATATTTACGAGAATGTTTGCGCTAGAGAGACTCTGTGTGGGTGTGTGTGTGCGTGTGTGTAGCAGTTGACACAGTGGACAGTGGAAAAGGAAGCATTTGAGCAGCCTATTGAAAATATCAATAGAGTCCATTTCTGTGTAACACTTGAATTTATTTATGCCAGCATAATCGAAGGATATTCTTGAACGAAATAAAAGAATTATTGCCTGCACAGAATGCAGACTGAGTCAGCAGACGAAAAGTCTTCAAGCCAGCAAAAGAGCATAAGGCAAGAGAAAAGTATATTTAAGTGCAAGATGAACTCAAGACAAACGCAAATTTGCAAAGTTTGTAGACAACGAACGATTCAAGAATAAAGCTGAAAAAGGAATTCGCATTATAGCATAAACTTTGTGAAGCAGATGCATTAAATTTGACTTGAGCAACTCTGCAAATTTGAGAAGGGGCAAGCAGAGGCAAGTTGTTTGCTTATAATACTCATGATTATATTTAATAATATTTATTTTATATTACATTAATTACTCAATTGCCAATGCCATTATTTGTACAATAGCTATTTCAGTTATGTACTCTGTGTATACCCTTTCAGTCAGTCATCGGTCGATAGCTGGCCGTAAGTACTCGCCTATCTAAGCTATGGGGATCTAAAGTGAGCTCCCTGCTGAGGCGGCACTTATCTAAACGTATTTGCCAAACTTTGACTGCTTAGAGCTCCACAGTGTGCCGAGTGGATTACGAAGCAGGCTCGTTAACGGCCGGCGGCTATTTTAAATGCTGCAAACACAACTCAATCACAGCCTGGATACTGGCAGCCCTCCCAAACTCCTGCTAGCCATGCAATATCCAGGCAATTCAGTAGCTGCCATCACACAAAATTTCACATGGCTGTCTGACCAGGTGTAACTCACTTTTAGTGTGTGTGTGCGTGTACGTGCGTGTGTGTGCGTGTTAATTACATTTGGCTTGCATTTGTGTAAAGTTGCCCAAAATTGAATTACAAGTTTTTGCCAGCATTTAGGCAAAGTGTCTGTCTGTCTATGTGTGCGTGTGCGTGTGTGTGAGCTTTTTTCATTTGTTTTTCTTTTGTTGTTTTTGCTGGACGATTTAGCCACACATGGCCCGAGCCTGAAACCCAAAAGTACAAACTTTTCAGCACGCAGCAGTGAGTCGAGTTTTTGGCAACAGTTGGGCCAAGTTGTTGCCAAACTGAGGGCTAAAAAGCTTCAAAGCAGCCGTTTTTTAACAGTTTTCAAAAATGTATTAAATAGTATTTAGAACGTGTAGCAAAAAAACTTTATTTAAATTAAATCAATATCAATATCAAGACGGGCTGAGGCGAGGTGTCTCTGGATTTGCGGCCTGCTTAAAGATTTATCTGCTTGTTGTAGAACTCCTTTTATAAACTTTTAAATATTCACAACGAATTAAATGAATTTCAATTTCAATCTCACTTATTCCCATTGCTTAGCAGTTAATATTATTGATAAGAATTAGCTATATCTTGAAGTCTCTCAAGCAGCTCTTGAGTATGCTCTTCTCGCCTTAGCTTTGGGTATTCTTGAATTTCGCTTTCCTCACTGGGCTGAAAGCCGCTAATGGTAGTTCTTACTTAATGCTCTAAGTTTCATAATTAGTTTCCAGGCAGGAGTCTCGAGTAGGGCTTTGCCAATCAATGCCAAACTGTAGGGCTAAGAACTCCTCTCTGGCGCCTCTTTCATCTTCTGCGTCTGCTTTGCGCTGTCAAGGATTTCTGTTCATTGTGCAGCTTAGCTTACCTCATTTGGCTGCATTTCCTGCAGGCCTCATTAACCTTTCGCGCACAGCCCATTCATTGTCTACTTTGTTGGGCCACTGCCACGCCCACCCATTACGCAACGCTAACAAACAATTTAATCGGGACAGCGGGAGCTGCTCTCTGGACGCCAAGTGCAAATAATAGAAATTCATTGCCAAATTGCATAGAAAATCGTTGCGAGGACCGGCAAAGACTCGGCGCCGCGGGCAGCCAGCTTGGCACCCAAAGTAACTTTCTGAGGCAGCGTTTTAATTACCGCAAACGGCGGCAGTAAGCGCATTACGTATACGCCGCGTTCCAGCTGCCGATAAAATCGCATTTAACGCAAGTTAATTAAAATGCGCGCACTGCGCTCTCACACTGTCTTCGTCTTTTACTATTTAATTAAAACTTAATTTTACAATAGCTGCACTTCGCCTCGCAGTTGCCTTCTCACGCACGAATCGTATTCTCGATCCACTCGACGTAGTCCGAGACGCGCGTGTAGACCCCGGGCCACCCTTCCAGCCCGCAGCGGTTGCCAAACGAGACGACGCCTTCCAGGTACCACGCCTGCCTGAAACGCATCAGTGGCCCCCCTGAATCGCCGTCGCAGCTGTCTCGTGAGAACTCGCCGCCAGCGCACAGCTGCGAGCTGATCACGTTGATTTGCCGCGTTGCGAATTTCTCCATGCAATAAGCGGCACTTTTTACTGGCACATCGAGGCGCTGCTTGATATTGCTCTGACGACCTGACAGGCAGAGAGGAGATGTGGTTAGGTAGAGTACGAAAGAGACAGAATCTGCACCTGTATCTGTATCTGTATCTGTATCTGTATCTGTATCTGTATCTGTATCTGTATCTGTATC